GGGTCACTGGAAAGGACAGCCTATCCCAACCCAGTCTTTCCCAGCAGGCAGAGAGGGTGAAGCAGGAAGACCATCCGGATGGGCTGGAAGGCCAGCTTGGGCCCAGCTGTCCGAGGGCCGGGGGGGTTCCCCCCTCCTCTGCAGGGGGTGGGTGCAGGCCTGGGGTGCCCGGAGTGACACCCTAAGTCTGGAATGAACAGTGCCCTTCCCCTCCACCTTCTCTGGGCCCCAGCCAAGGAAGTTCTCGTTTGTGACAGAAATGTGTATTTCTGGGAAGGGGGAGCACTCCGAGAAGTAGGAAGAAGGGGACATCCCGCCCTGCTCCCTCTGCTCCCAGTTCCCAAGGATTCCCCCAGATCTGGAGTGCCCCCTGGGGACGCGTCTGGAGCTGGGCTCCTGAGAGGAGCTGCAGCCAGCCCACCCTGGGGGGCTGGAGGAGCTATCAGGACAGAGGGTCCCCTGAAAGAGAAGCCGGAAGAGTTATCTAGGTGTGGGGCTCAAGGAGGCCGGGCCCCCGGGCAGGGACGTCGGAGGCGGGGGGGGGGGGCGGGGAGGTCTGGGGGGGCAGCTGAGGGCCCCCTGAGGCTCCCCTGCAGTCAGTCTGCGGAGCTGGGGCTGGGAGCTGTCCGGATGCAGTTGGGTTTAGGTGTCAGGAGTCCTGGGAACCCGTGGGTCTTAGGGGGAAGCCAGGAGCTGGGTGGCCCCCTGGCTTGGATTTCTGGGTGCTGCCTGGCAGAGCCCTCATGCCCCTCGTTGCTTTGCAGACGGAGAGCCTCCTGCTGCAGGCCGAGCGCCGGGCCCTGTGTGCCTGCTGGCCGGCCGGGCACTGAGCACCTGCACCAGCACGTGCCCAACCAATAAAGGCCTGGTCCCCACGACCGTGTCCTGTGTCCCTGCTCGGGCCCCCAGGGCCCACCGTCGTCCCCCGGAGTCTCTGCCTGGGCCTGGGTTTCCCTGCCAGGCAGCTCTCCCACCCTGGCACCAGGCTGGGGGCGTGCATCCATGGGCACGGGGGCCACCACCTTCCAGGGGCCCCCCCTGTTCCCTGTCTGCACTTCCTTTGAAACATGGAGGGTGTGCTGGGGGGGCGGGGTGCCTGGAGCGCTTGCCCGGCCCCAGGCCCGCCCAGGCCCTGGTACAATGAGGACCCTGCGGTCAGGGGCTCCCCGGGTCTGGCTGGTGGACCCACTATGGCCAAGGCCCTGTAACCAAGCCGGCAAGTGCCAGGAGAGGGAGTGCTGGGCGGTGGGGGAGTGCTCCTCTGGGAGGAGCGGGCTGGGCCCCTTCATAGCTTCCCCCCCGCCTGCTGGCTCCCTCCTGACCCCGGCCTGGCCCCTGGGCACCGAGAACTCTGGGATGGTGCAGACTCGTGTCCACGTGTGTGTGCACAACACCAGGCAGAGGCCTTCCTCCTTCCTTCCATTCATTTCTGGAGGAATTTTTTTTTTGAGTAAATATTATAATCTCTTTTTCAAAGTAATGCGTGCATATGGTAAGAAACATCCAGGAAGTCAGCAGGGCTGCAAATACAAGTGACCGGTATGGGACACGTGGCCTCTCGGTGGCTTTAGTTCCTTGGCCGTGGCCATATCTACACCTGGCACTGCTGTCCGAGGTGGTCAGAGCTGGACACTCCTGGTCCCCTGCCCAGGAGGGCGACCCTAGTCCCCGGCCCAGCCTGTCTTGTCTTGTCCTGGGGGTCTGAGTGCACACAGCTGTTCAGATGCTTTGCCCAGGCCCTTTGTTGCCCCAGTGGCTTCCCGACTCTTGACGATGACCTCCCTCCCATCCTCAATTCTTTTCTGCTGGACCCGCCCAGCCTGCGGGTGCTGCTCCAGGTGTTAGGATCACAGGGAACGAACCAGAGTCCTACCTTGGCTTCATGGGGGGCCGAGCTCAATGTCTAGGGGTGATGATGCCCGTGGGATGATTTCAGTCAGGCCAGAGCGAGGCCCCGGGGAAGGCGAGCTGGAGCCATGGCCGGCCTTGGTGGTCTTCGGGCCTGGGCATGGGGGGCAGGGACCAGGGCCGCCTGTCCTGGGGCCCCAAGGAGCAGAGGGTGGCAGAAAGAGGCACCTCCATCAGGGCACTGCCAGAGAGTGCCCGTTTCCCACAGGTTGGCCTCAGTCACGTGGACGTTCCTGGCTGCCAGGGAGCCCAGATTCCCAAACACGAGGCTCACTGAGCCCTTCTCGGTGGGAGCAGGCAGGCACTTGGAGTGTGAGCACTTAGTGAACGCATGTCCCAGGCAATACTCGGGACACGTTTAAAGTGAAAACCACCGGTGTATCCAAAATCGAAGTTTAGCTGGGCTGGGCAGCCCCAAAGCCTAGCTCCAACTGGAGTTCTGTGACCAGAGCCTCTGCAGGGGGTGCCCTTTGGGAGGAAGTGAGGGCCCTGCTGGGTGGGGAGGCAGCAGCCGCAGGCAGAAGGGACAGGCGGCAGCTCTGGGCGGTCTGGCCGCTGAGGGTGGGGGGCGGCGTGAAGGATGGGGACAGAGTGGGCGCCGTCGGGAGTGAGGGGCCAGGGCTGGGGGGACGTGGGTGAGCAGAGAAACCCAGGAGGCCACGAGGCAGACACGCCTGGGAAAGCGCTGGGGAGAGAAGGCCCCTGGGGCTCGGGGATGGGGGTGGGGAGGTGATGCCCCCGAGGAGGGGGGTCTTCACGGGGCAGGGAGAGAGCGGAGACCCGGCGGGGGAGGGGCTTCAGGCAGAAGCCAGCCTGTCACAGGCCCCGGAGGTCAAGCAAGGCCCCAGGTGGGCCCCCTGGGGTGGGCAGCTCTGGCCACGGTCAGCCTCGAAGGGAGCAGAGTCGGCTGGGGTGGGGAAGGCCCGCTTGGGGGCGATGCTGGAGAAGTAGCCTGGGCCCCGTGAAGGGCTTAGCCTTGCGTGCAGTCAAGGCCAAGGGCGTCCTGGCTCTGCCCTGAGCGGTTCCACCGCTTTCTGCTGACTGGACCAAGAGCATCTTCATGACGGCGTCAGGGCCGCGTGAGCTGGGAAGGCTTTGCTTTTGTTGCCCTTGCAGACTGTTCATCCAGTCGTTCCCTCTTGTCTGCCTTCGTCACGTCCGTCCATCCTCCAGCAGTCTGGTCCTTCTCAGCCTCTCCCCTCCGTGGCCTGTGCCTTCCAGCTCCTAACCAGCTGGGCATTCCCGCTGCCCACCTTCACGCTTCTGGTTTGGAGGCACTGCTTCCTAGATTCCACACCGTCTTCTCATGGTGGCCTGCCTTCAAATAGCTTCCTAGACAATTGGGTGGTAAATGAGCCGTCCGAAAATTTTTGCGGGCACATTGGCCTCGTAGTCCCCGCCACCCCCGGGCCTTTGCATGTGCTGTCCCTCTCCCCGGAGTTCCCACGTGGCCTCCACCACCCGCCCTGCTCTTCAGCCCTTTGTCCCAGCTTATTTTCCTTGGCCCCAAAGTCCAGCTGGAGCGCCGGCCTCTGTGACTGGTGGGCTCCTGCCCCCACCCCCCACCCCCGGCTTGTAAAGCACCAGGAGAGCACTGCTTTGCCCTTTTCAGGGCCCGGTAGAGGGCAGGCACCCTCCAGCCTGTGTTGGCAGGAAGGCTGGGTGCTGGGTCACAGACTCCTGGTTAGGAGCCTGGGGTGCAGCGGGTGGGTCAGGAGCGTCACTCCTTCCCCGCCCTCAGGAGCTCTCAGAGCCCAGGGCCCAGCCAGGCACCGGGCAGGCTCTAAGCAGGGGGCCCAGTCCCCCAGCTGGGCAGTCGGTTTCTCTTGCTTCCTCCCCTTGGCGTTCTCTGGGAAGAGCTCCCATGGGCTGGGCCCCGGCCCCCGCCAAGTCTGTTCCAGGCTTTCTTCGCCTTCCCGCTCCTGGCCCTCCGGCCCACTTCCGCCAGCACCCCTGCCACCTCTGCAGTCCTCCCAGGTGCACCTCTCCCTGGGATCCCGGAGACCCTCTCTGCCCGTGGGTCCCTTTCTTCGCCTGGGGTTGGGAGTGGGGTCCGTTCGCTGAACGAACGGTCCTGTGCTGGGCCTTCCTCCTCCCCACTCTGGGGTCTGAGTGGGGTTCTCGCTGTGCTCAGAGGACCCCCACTACCGCCGCTGGGAACCCGTGAGGCTCTGCTAGGTGTCAGGTCAGGGTAGTCGGGTCAGCCAAAGTCAGGAGGAGCGGGCGGGAATTTGTGGGCTGGGCCAGGGTGGGTGACCCGGGGGTGCTGGGAAGACAGTCAGACTCCGCCCGCCCCAGGCTCCCAACAGCATCCAGGACCCTGCCCCCAGTCCAGCTGCGCCCGACAGTGTGAGGGGAGTCCCCTCCCTGGGTCCTGGACTGAGGCCAGGCAGCGGGGCCTGGGGCCGCCCGGCTGCCCGCACGCACCTCACCCCTCTCCCAGGCTTCCCCAGCTCGCGGCCATTTGAAGTCCAGAACCCGGGCGGGCCTCCTTGGGGGCCAGCCCTGTCCGTTGCCACCTGGTCCTGGCGCTCTCCCTTCCCCCCAGGAGCTGGACCACTGCCTCAGGGCGCTTCGGCCTTTCCCAGCAGGCTGGAGGGTGAGCTCAGCCCACCAAGGCGGGAGGGGGCCCTACAAGGTCAGGCTGAGTGGGGGCCCAGGCCCCCCCTCCGTATCTGGGCCTGGCTGTTGGGGTGGAGGAGGGGCAGGGCTGATTATGTATGGACCCAGGAAAGACCTGCTGGCTCACATGGTAAAGAATCTGCCTGCAATGCGTGATACCCGGGTTCGATCCCTGGGTCAGGAAGATCTGGAGCAGGGCATGCAAACACTCCAGTATTCTTGCCTGGAGAATCTCATGGACAGTGGAGCCTGGGGGCTGTGAGGGTGGGACGTGACTGAGCGACTGACAACGGCCAGCAGAGGCCGCGGCCCGGAGGGCCCCTGCGGCCCCGGGTCTGGGGGCGGGTGTCAGGGGCTGCCCGGGGCGCTCCCGCCCCCGCCCCCGTCCTTCCTGGACTCCCTGCACACTGTCCTCTGGCTGCGACCTTCCTCCTGCCGTGGAGCCCGGCCTCCGCCGCCGCGGCGCGTGGATGCGCGCCGGATGGGCGCCTCTGACATCGTCCGTGATCCCACCCAGCTCTCCTGGAAGGTCACAGGCGGACCCCGGACAAATCCTGACACATGAAACACGGCGAGCGCGTGACGCCCCAGCTCGGCTGCCCCTCCCGCTACGACCCAGCGCTTTGGGCCCTGGGTCCTCCCTCTTCTCGCGCCCCCTGGGTCTCTTAGCGCGACCCCGTTAGGGGCGGTCCCTTTCCTGGGGCCTCACTGGGCTCCAGCGGCCCGAGGGTCCTCAGGCCTGGAGCCCGAGGCTTGCTCTCCACTTGGGCGGGTGTGAGCTCCGCTCCAGACCGGCCCGCGGGGTCACTTGCGGGGAACTGGGGCGACGCGGGGAAGGGGAGTGTGGGGATGCCGGGGGGCTGGGCTCGTCAGGCGCTGGGGGGCGGGCCTGGGACTCCCGCCCTCCCCCTTCCAGGTGGCCCCCTCGCCCCCTGCCCGCGGCGTCGGCGCTGGGGGCTCGCGGGGGTCCGGGGCGCGCGCCGAGCGCCCTCCCTGCACCTGCACCGAGATCGCGGGGCGCATGCGCGGGCCGCGGAGGGCGGGGGCCGAGCCGGGAGGGGTCCTGAGGGCCCCGCGCCCCCACGCCGGCGCTGGGGATCCGGCATCGGAGCGCGGGGACCCGCTGGGCTGCGGGCGGCGTGGGCATCGGACCCCGCTCTGACCGCGTCCCCGCGCCGCCAGCCCGTGCGGCCCCGGTCGCAGGTTCCCAGGGACGCCGGGCGGGGCAAGCCGGGGCGCCCCCTCCCCAGGATCTCGGTCAAGCGCCGCGTTCAGACAAAGGGGCGGGAGATGGAGACGGAGACGCTTCCGTGACAGCGCCCGGAGGCCGAGGAGGAGGAGCAGGAGGACGAGGCGCTTCGGGGTCCGGCGGCGCGGCCCCAGGTCCGAGCGCTCACCGGCGGCACGCGCGGGAGCGCAGGGCCCTGGCGGGAGGCGCCCGGCCGGCAGTCCCACGGAGCGCCCGTTCCGGGCCGGGACCCCGGCCGCGACCCCCGGCCGCACGCTCGCTCGTCCCCGGCCGGCCTCGCGGAGGCTCGGCTGCTCCGTCGCCCTCCGGGGGCGCCCGCGCCGCCCCCGGCCGGCCGCGGTGCAGCGCCCGAGTGTGCCATCGGGCGGGCGCGGGGGCGGCGTCTGCTCCCACCCTCGAGATCACATGGTGACCCTCGGCAGCCAATGCAGTGGACGCTAGGACCCTGCGGGACCCCGGGCGCCGCGACTGCACCGGCGCCGCTGCATTATAAATACTTCTCCAAAATGCGGCGCAGCTCCCTGCGCGCGCCCCGGCCGCCCGCCGCCTCCGCCCCGCGCTCCTGAGCCGCCGCCGCTGCCGCCGCCGCCGCCGCCGCCGCCGCGGGTCCGAGGGCGCCGCGCCCTTGCCCTGGGCCCGCCGCCCGGCCCGCGTCCCTGCGCTGCGCCGCCCGGCCGGGTGCATGCATTGTGGGCCTCCCGACATGGTCTGCGAGACGAAGATCGTGGCCGCCGAGGACCATGAGGCGCTGCCGGGGGCCCAGAAGGACGCGCTGCTCGCCGCCGCCGGCGCCATGTGGCCCCCGCTGCCCGCCGCCCCCGGGCCGGCCGCCGCCCCCGCCGCGCCCCCGCCCGCGCCGGGCCCCCAGGCTCTCGGCGGCGCCGGGGGCGCGGAGCCGGCCGAGGGGCGCGGCGTGTACATCCGCGAGTTCCGCGCGGCGGAGCAGGAGGCTGCGCGCCGCATCTTCTACGACGGCATCATGGAGCGCATCCCCAACACGGCCTTCCGCGGCCTGCGGCAGCACCCGCGCGCACAGCTGCTCTACGCCCTGCTGGCCGGTCAGTGCGCGGGGACCCGGCGGGGCGACGGGGTCCGGGCCGCGGGGCGCACTCTGGCCTGCCGCAGTCCATGCCCGCCCGGCCCTCTGGGGACGCGCATGGGGCTCCCTCCGGTCCTCTCGCCCCCCACCACCCAGCTTTGGCCCTGGGCCTCGTCCCGGAGGGAGGTGGACCCTTGCCTGCGCCTCGGACGCGCACGTTCTGCGGCGGCCCTGGGGCGAGGTGGCCCCCGGCGCTGGGGTCAATCCGGGCTCCCGGCCAAGGCGCGCGGGGTGGGGGCGTGGGAACCGGTGCGGGCCGGGTGCAGGGGCCGCGGGCGGGAAGGACTGGGGTCTCCACCGGCGTCCCCTCCCCGGTCATCCCAGTTGGAGGCGGGGAAGGGGGGGCGGCAGGTAGCGCCCGCCGCCGAGGCCCCGCGCCCGGCGCGTGTAACTATATATAATCCGCCGGGCGGGGGAGGTTGCCTCGCCGGCTCCAAGTGCTAATTTATGAGGGGCAGGCAGCCAGCTCCCCGGGGTGCCGGGCGGAGGGAGCACGCTGAGGAGGCGGGGCGAGGGGCGGTGGGCCTGACGCGGTCGCCCCCGCGGTGGCCTTTGAGGCTTGGCCCCTTGAGGCCTTGCAGTGGGAGGGCGGTTCTCCCCATTTCGTAGATGTGGAGCTTGAGGCTGGGCGGGCGGGACTTCCCAAGGTCACGCAGCAGAGGCCTTCCACCGCAGGCACGTCTGCCTCCGAGAGCAGGAGGCCCAGTTCGGCCTTCCTCCCTGGCCCCTGTCCTCACGACGCCCGGAGGCCGGCCCTTAGGTTCTTGGCTGGGGTGGGGCCCCCCAAGTTCCCGAGAGAGACGGTGCCTGGCCTGCCGGCTGTTTGACTTCCCCCAGCCTCATGTGGGCCAGGATATGGGCAGAGCGCCCTTCCCCAGCTAAGGGTCCGGGTGATGGGCAGGGCGGGCAGGGCCCCCCTTCTGTAGTCATGCCCTGACCTGTGCTCGCCAGCGGTTGAGGGCAGCCTGCCAGAGGCCGCTGCTGTGCCCAGGACACTTGGAAGTCGTGATGTCAGGTGTGACGGCATCGCGTCCTCAGGGCCGAGAAGTTTGCCATCAGGGCCAAGTGGAAGCGGCAGCTGTGCTGGCCTTTGCTCTTCCAGAGAAAACGGGCCGGGCTGTGGGCTTGGGGTCTCCTCTGCCCACGGCGCCGGTGGTTGTCGACCGGGGGCCAGTGCGGTGCTGGGCTCGGGCGGGCCGCAGGCGCTGCCCCAGCGGGCACTCAGCGCGCCCTCTCCCCGCAGCGCTCTGCTTCGCCCTGACGCGCTCCCTCCTGCTGACCTGCCTGGTGCCCGCGGGGCTGCTGGCCCTGCGCTATTACTACAGCCGGAAGGTGGTCCTCGCCTACCTGGACTGCGCGCTGCACACGGACATGGCCGACATTGAGCAGTACTACATGAAGCCCCCCGGTGAGGCTCTAGCCGCCCCCCGCCCCCCAGGGCTTCCTCCTGGCAGAGCCCCCCGCCCCAGCAGCCTCCGGTGGGCCGGGGCCAGGGGCTGGGCGCCCGGTGAAGTGAGCCTCCTGGGGACGAGGGTGCTGGCCGAGGGGTCGGGTGCTGCGCGCTGGCAGGGCCGGGCTGGCAGGACTGGGTCCTCCTCCCGGAGCGTCGCCAGCTTCCGTCCTGTGTCCTCTGAGGGCCGGGCGCCGGTGGCCCGAGCTGGCCCTGGGCCATGCTGACCCGCCCTGCTTCTCGGGCTGCGACTGCCCGTCGCCTGGCACCTGTCTCACCCCCCAGGGGCCCTTTCGGTGCGTCTTGTGGGTCCCAGGCTGGCCCAGAACGCTGGGGCCCTGAGTGGCAGGAAAGGGGACCACACGGTGGGGGGTGAGACCCTAGGAGAACAGGGGTATCACGTCACGGCTTCCACTTCTGGTCCCTGGGCCACTTAACTAATCCCAGGGTCTCACCCCAGCCCTGACTTTCTGTAGACGGAGGGGCTGGCACCTGCTCTGGAGCCATCCCCTCCAGGCAGTTTATGCTCCAGGCTGGCCTGGGGGCAGGGGCAGGCTTTTCTCCGTGCCTGGAGTTGGGGCATGAGGGTCCCCCAGGTGCAGGAAGGTCTGTGTGGAGAGGGGCCCGAACGGCTGGTGAGGGTCTAGTAGGACCCTGGCGGGTGGCAGGGAGGGGCAGCCGGGCTAGGGGAAGCAAGGCTCCCAGGGCCGGGCTGACCTGCCTGGCGGGACCAGCTCCGGGCCATGGCGGCAGGTCCATTCCCAGCCCCGAAGCCGCCTGGCAGACCTTGGGCACCCTCGGTTCTGCGTTACCCTCTCCCAAGTCCAAACAAAGCATCTTATCAGCATCTTCAGCCCAACTCTGCCCAGGACGGGAGGGGCCTTGCACCAAAGCCTGGAATTGCCCACCCTCTCTGGGGCGCAGTCCTCCTGGAGGTGAGATCAGGTGGGCGGAGACAGCTGGGGGGTCTACAGGAAGACCCCGCGGGGTTGGGGAGGCTGGACGGTGGCCGACCGGGCTGCACTGGGGCTTGTGGGGGCTGCTTCTGCTTTGGGGAAACTGAGTCTGTGCTGACCTGTGACCCGGGTTGGGCGGGTGGGGAGAGCCCAAGACCCTGGCCATTGGGCAGGTCAGCGGGCGCGGGGGCGGAGGGGGGGAGCGGTCATTCCCAAGCTCTGGCTGCGAGAAAGGCCAGGACAGGGGGTGTGCTGGGGAAGCAGGCGGGGGGGGGGGACCCTCAGGTGTCAAGCGGACGGGAGAAGAGTGTCTTCCCGGTGGGGTCATGTGAAGGCACTTTAGGGAGAGGACGTGGCAGTGGGGGCTGGTGTGGCTGTGGGTAGGGCGTGCGCAGGCAGGCTCCCTGGAGTGGGCACCACCCCGGCTTAACCTCCTGGAGCCCCTGGGCCTCGGGTCACTGGAGGAGACGGCTCTCCCTGTGGCCAGCGCCCCCAGGCCTCTCCCCTCCCATCTTTATCCCTCCGACCCTCCTGTGCCTCTCAGCTCCCCAGAGGTCGCCCCCCCATGCCCCCCTCCTGCCCTGCCCAGAACTGCGGAGGTCTGGGCGGGGCCTGGGGGCAGGGCGGCGGGCAGGTTGGGCCCGGCGCTTGGCCCAGAAGGGCCCTGCGGGCCGGCTGACACGCGGCGGTGCCCGTGGCCCTGACCCCCTCCCTGTTCCCCGCAGGCTCCTGCTTCTGGGTGGCCGTGCTGGACGGCAACGTGGTGGGCATCGTGGCGGCGCGGGCCCACGCGGCGGACAACACGGTGGAGCTGCTGCGCATGTCCGTGGACTCGCGGTTCCGCGGCAAGGGCATCGCCAAGGCGCTGGGCCGCAAGGTGCTGGAGTTCGCCCTGGTGCACAACTACTCCGCGGTGGTGCTGGGCACCACGGCCGTCAAGGTGGCCGCCCACAAGCTCTACGAGTCCCTGGGCTTCAGACACATGGGCTCAAGTGACCGCTACGTGATGCCCGGCATGACCCTCTCGCTGGCCGAGCGCCTCTTCTTCCAGGTCCGCTACCACCGTTACCGCCTGCAGCTGCGCGAGGAGTGACTGCCGCCGTCCGCCCGCCGCCCCGCCCCGCCCGCCCGCCTGTGCCCGCCCCGCCCGCCGCCCGGGCCGCTTTCAGACGCTCACCTTGGCGTGTGTGTTGGGCGTCTCCCTTTTCGACACCACACGGTTCCTTGGCTGGTTCCTGGGGGATGCCGGGCCGGTGTGCATTGGTGACACGTGGGAAGGTGGGTGGTCCCTCCTGCCACACCCCCCGCCCTCCCTGGGTCGGGCCACGCCCTGAAGAGTGACAGCGTGGGCCGCCGCGAGCCCACGCAGCTGCTGGCCCCGGCCGGAGCGCCCCCTCACGCTTAGCCCTGAGGTGGCGAGGGGCCCCGTCTTGCCCACCAAGCACAGAGCCTCTGGGGTGAGGCCCCCCCCCGCGCCCAGCAGACCCCTGGCCGGCAGTGGGGCGGGGCTCGGCTGCCCGCCCCCCAGTGGGCGTGGCCTGCCGCCCCCCTGGGGCGCCGGGCTGCCCTGGCCGCTTTGCTCCGCTCTGTGCATGCTGAGGATGTGGCCTGGCTGCAGCATGCTGCATGCCCGCAGCCCCTGCCCCCGCCCCGCCCAGACTGGACCCAGACTGGTGAGCGCCCCGGCCCCCGCCCCGCTCTCTGGAGCCCTGCTGTCCACCTCGCCCCTCGCTTCCCCCAGTCCAGCTCTGCTTCGACGTCGGATCACCCCCTTTCCTTTCGGTACCTGCCCCTCCTCCACCCGGGCTTTGCTGATCGGCGTCGTCATCCAGGTGTGGTTCCCATAGCGACGTGTGGCCCTGCAGCAGTCAGGGCCCTCTGGGGGGGCAGGGTGGAGGCGGCTGTGGGGGTCCCCGCTCCCCCAGGGCCAGCTAGACAGGGCTTGGTGGCCGCTCCCGGACCCACTGGGGACTTCCTGCCCCGGGGCAGCCGGGCTCTGTCCTGTGAATCTTGACCAACCCAGGCTGCCGCCCGCCCCACGGAGCCCGTAGCTTCTCCCAGCCTGAAGCCGACCTATTTTTTAATAAGTTATTTAGACAGAATAGCACTCTGCATGACTTTAACTCTTGGGACAAAATGGTAGTTGATACCTACACACATACACACACACACACCTGTGTGGTCTAGAATATGCACTATTTCCGGCCCAGTTTGGTGGGGGTGGGTGCCGGGGGGTGGAGGGTTGGTTTGGAGTCTGGAGGGAGACCCTGACTGAACGTCGTTTCCGTCCTGAGGGCACTCCAGGTGGGCGCGGGCGGGAGCAGTTTGCCAGCAGCGTCCAGTGTAGGAGCGGGGCGCCTTCGGGGTGCTCACCCCCTGCCCCAGGTCGCAGGCAGGGGCTTTTGGGAGCAGGGGTGGCCCAGAGCAGGGGAGGAAGGTGGTGGCTGGAGGGGCATAGAGGCCCACCAAGACCCCTTGCTTTGGGGGGGCGGGGAGTGGCAGGCGGCGTGGGCCACTGACCTGGGGCCCTGGAGGGCGCGTCCTCAGAGGCGCTTTGAGCGGGCCACGCCTGGCCTCCCGAGGGGCCCTGGGTACTGTGAGCGGCTGAGATAACTTGCAGAACATTGTACAGACCCCGCGCTCCCCTGTACATTCTCCCCGGTGGCGCCCGGCCCCCGTCAGGGGTGGGAGTTTTGTAGACTGTACAGAAATCGGCCCCCTATTTTCTTGCAGCTCTCAGATTTTGTTAATCTGGATAATACAGACAGACGTAAAGTGTTTTAGCAAAACGGAAAACAAAGCTGTGCCTTTTTCCTCTCTCTGTTGGGTTTGGTGTCGGCTCGGGGTGGCCTTAGGTGGCGAGGGGTGTGGTGGGGCTGCGGCCGGCCTGGGGCCTGGCGGGTTGTGTCCTTGTTTGATGGCGGCTCCGGGACGCCGTGGGCTTCCTCCCACCCTGTGCCTTTGGGGCCCCTGTCCCCAGTGGGGGCGTGGGCGCGGGGGGCCCTCAGCATCTGTTGGTGTGGACTGGAGCACCTCGAGGGGGTCCCTCCTGGCAGGGGTGTGGCCCCCCCGTCACCTGCTGTTTGGGCCCCCTGTCCACCCCTGCGGATGGCCCAGAGGGTGCTGGGCACAGGCTGGGCCCGCAGCCTCCCCTCATGCCCTTTGTTGCTGCCAGGACAGATGCCAGGAGGGGTGTGGCAGAGTGGCCGCATGTCCGGAACGCTGCTGTCCAGCTGCCGCCCGGCCCTGAGGTGGGCAGAGGTGCCCGTGTACCCCAGGCTGGGTGCGTGCTGAGCCTGGGTCGGGACTCCTGCCTGGCCAGCGTGCGGCCTGGGCTCCTGGGGGCAGGTCTTCCAGCCTCCCCTCAGCCTGGGAGCTAACTGCTCCACAAACATGCACTGCGTTGTGAGTTTTATACCTTTGTAGAAATCCTGATGTCACTTCTACCTCTGTGAAGCGTGCCCCTGGGGTCCTGCCTTGGGGTGTGTCTGGGCAGCTTCTCTGTGTGGGGCGGCCCTGGGCCCCTCCGTGCTCAGGGGCCCAGCTTCCAGGCAGCAGAAGCGGGAGGCGGAGCCTGAGCACGTCTTTGCCTGGAGCACCGGCCCGATGGGCCCGTCCGGGTCTCGGGACCCAGGGTGGCTGAGGCTCCAGCACTGCTGGAAGGCCCAGCGTCCTGGCCCGTGACTGGCAGGCCTTGCCCGGGTAAAGGCTCTTCAGGCAGCTGGTCCCGAGGGCGGGCAGCCAGAGCGGGTGGTGGGCGTGTGTTGGGGCCAGCCGGGTGGTCTGGCCCCACGCAGGGCCGAGGTGGTGTCCCCCCGGTCCCTCTGTCTGTGTTGGGGCTGGCCCAGGGCGGGGTTGTGGTGGACGGATGAGGGGCTTGGACCGGGAGGCCATGTGGTCCCGGGGCCCCCATCCTGCTCTGGGGTCCTTTCTCAGAGATGGTCCTCGGGGGGTGAGGGGCTCCTTCGTGTCTGGCAAGGGCTTGGCGGCCCTCTGGGCCCCCGGCCTGGCTCTGGCCTCCGGGGGGCATGCTGGAAGTATGGGTGCAAGCGTCTGCCTGCCCTTGGGGGCTGTCGCTGTCGGGGGCTGCTGGACCGTGGCCCCAGGCCCTCCCTGGCGCGTGCCGTGTGTCACCTCTGCTCCCTTGTCTGTCCGAAGCCACTGCTGTGCACCACTCCAGCCCCTGAACCTGAGCTGGTGGCCCTGGGGACTTTCGGGGGTTGAGTTCTGGGCCGGGTGCAGGCAGACCCTGGGCTGCGTTTGCTCGGGCTGCCTCGGCGGTGTGAGGCCCGCTGATTCCCAGTGTTGGATGTGGTTTTTTAACAGCAATAATCAGCCACTTCGGAGAAGGGGTGTGCCTGTGTGTGTGCCTGTGGGTAGGTGCACATACGTATGCCTGTGTGTGTGTGCACGTGTGTGCCTGGTGTCTGAGGGCCCCGGGGGGCTGGGGGTGCTTGGCCGGGGCGGGCTGGCCCCGCGGCCTCGCCCGCTCTCCTCTGGCCCAGCCGGCCTGGGTCCCAGCCCGCCTTCCTCCTGGGCTGAGGCTGCTGGATGGGTCCGCGTGCAGCAGGGGTGCCTGGGGTGAGCTTTTGCCCAGGGTGCACTGGGCACTCCACTGTGGGGAGGGTGGCCAGGGCAGGGACGCTCGGTGACACTCTGCGGGCTGGAGGAGGTCAGATCTGGGGACGGGGGGCCCCCGGGCCAGGCCATCGGGCCACGGCGGCCCCGGGCGGGCCAACACCACTCTCTGAGTCCACCGTCTGTGTGCCCAGGATGTGCTCAGCGGCCTTCGGGAGGGCCCCGAGGGGCGCCGAGTTCCGGGGGCGCGGGCTGCCGGGCGGGGGAGTCCCTGGCCCCCTGTGCATGTGTGAGCCGTGGGAGGGGCCGCAGCCACTGCCCTGCGCCTGCCCGGCCCCCGATGCTGCTGTTTTTCAATAAAACCCGAGCTGATGGAATCGGGCTCTGTGCTTTCTTGCTGTGTCCTCTGTGTAACACCGGGCCCGGAAGGGCTCCTCCCTGAGGTGCTGGGCATCCCCTTGACCCCGGGGCGGGGGTGGGTGATAGGGTGACCTGTGGGCAGGGGGGCCCCCTGTTCCTGTGTCTGCAGCCCTGACCTGGCCACCCTGCCCGCTTGCATCTGCCTGCCTGTCTGATGCTCCTTGGAGCTGTGGGCTCACCGGATGGGGTGGGTGGGAGGGCAATGGGACCCCCAGGTCCTGTAAAGAAGGGCCGTGGTGGGGGTTGGGGTGTTAGCCAGGGACGTGGGCGCTGAGACCCCGGGGAGAGGCAACCAGCATGCCCCGGGGCTGCTGAAGCCCACCCAGTGTGATGGCCCCCAGGCGGGCCTTGCTCTGGCTGCCCCCTCCTGCTCGGGCCACATTCCGGGTGGGGGTGCGCCCTCTTCTCTGAGTCTGACTGGGTCCCACCTGCCCTGCGGGGCTGCCTGCACACAGGGGCCCAGCCCGGCCCTGGGAAGGCGCTCCTAGGACGGTCGCTGGTCTGCGCGAGCTCCTCATGAGAGGAGGCAGTGATCTCTGCCTTTGTGGTGACGGCATGAACACAGGACGTCGCTCAGACATTGACACCAGCCAGACGCAGTGGTGTGGGGGGGCCCCGCGCCCCCCGCCAGGGGCAGGCCCGGCCGTCAGGCCCTGCACGCCCCGGGAGACCGGCGATAACGATTTGAAGCCGTGAGGGGAACGGGCCTGGGCACGGTGAGTGGCTACGACCCCGTCACCCGGAAGAGTGAGGCATGTCCCACGGGCTTGAGTTGCCGTAAGGCTGGGGGCCAGGCTGGGGCGGGGGGCCTGCTCCCCTCCTGGAGGGGCTCCCTCAGCCCTGCTGGCCTGCCCTGCCCGGCGAGCACCGCGCCCCCCTTGGAGGTGGCTCGCGGAGCTGGGACCCAGACCAGGATGCAGGGGCGAGGCCCTGGGGTGAGCCGGGGCGGGGCAGGCCTGCTGGGGCCCGTCTGGCAAGGCGACATCTCCGGCCGCAGTGTCCCTGCCGTCCAAGGGGGCAGCTCTGTCTCAGGCTGCAGAGAGGCTCTGGGGTGCTCAGGCCAGACCCTCTCTCGGGCCTGGGGTGTCTGTGAGAAGCGCTGCCGAGCGCCTGGGCACAGGCCCCTCCGGCCCTCAGGAGGGTGGTTGGGCTGTGCTCTCCGCCCAGAGCACCGCCACCCGCAGGCCAGCACAGGGGCCTCTGGGAGCCAGGCTGCTAGCTGCTCCTGGCTCCTGCGAGATGCGGAGCAGCTGCCCGGTGGGGGGGGACCCAGAGTGGCCGAGGCGCTCGACCTGACCAGTTTCCTACCCATGGGAAGGATTCACACAGACAGGTGAGGACAGCTCCTTGAGAAGCGTTTACTGCAGGCGGCCCCGGGGGAAGGTGGCCCTGACCACATAGAAAGCACTGGTGGACGCTGGTTCTCTTCGCTGTTGCCTGGGGCTACAGGCTGAATGAAGGCGAAAAATGCGGGCGCGGGGGTCGGCGCTCTAGAGCTGGCGGGCGCCCAGCTGTTGCTTGGAGACTCGGCAGAATGTTGGTGGGGCTGGGGCCAGGGGCCCGCTGCAGAGGTGCCAGGTGTCCCCACGAGCGGCCCGCGCTCAGACTCACCTTCAGGGGCACCTGTGCGGGCACCAGAGGTGAGTGCCCAGCCTCCCCGCCGCCTCCCGGGCCCCCCGGCAGGCAGGCCAGGGCCCACGGCGCGCAAGCAGCCCCTGGCCCAGACACACGGCCAGATGCCCCGGCAGCTCTGCTAGGGACAGGCGCACACTCACACACACGCGCGCGCGCACACACACACACATACACACACACACTCACACACACACA